GTCTCGAATGTCTCCATTGCAAGGTCCAGGTTCTGACAGAGGATGGCGGCTTGGACAAAGTTGTTCCAGTTGGCGCTGTCGAGTTCGTACCCTTTTTTTTCCAAGTCCGCGACAGCCTTGACGAGGGTTTCCAGCTCGTTAGTGTGAGTCAATGACTGTGCTAGGATGCTGAGGGGCTGGCAGAGGAGGTGTCGGCGGGACCAGAGGACTTCGGGCTGAAGGGGATTGTCGTCAGATGGTCGGGCGAGTTTGTCTGCGAGGTGGCAAACTTGCTCCCAGATTACCTTTACGGCTTCGGTGTTCCGGGCTTTCATGTGGGCGTTCATGATGGCTATGTAGAGCTTGATCGACGGGATTGTTCCGCCAGGTTTCTGGGCCTCAGATATTTCTAAGAAGCGGTGATAGATTTCCTCGGAGTGAGGGTAGGAGCCTTCTTTTCCGTAGATTGAGACTAAGGGTGCGAAGAGCCAAGGTGGTGTGGCGGATTTGACACTGTCCCTTGATGTGAGGTCTAGGACATCTAGGTTTTCTGTAACCTGTGCTAGGATACCTTCCGCTGAATTAAGGAAGAGTGCACCACCAGTAGAGCGCCATTTGGCATGCTCCGCAAAAGCGGATGCTTGCAGGAGGACAGCTTGCGTGGTAAAGGTTGGATTGATGCCGCAGTTCACCATCTTGTTGAACGTTGCCCACACTTGCGCTAAGTCCATATTCCTCATGTGAGCTACCATGATAATAGCATAGTGTATGGAATTAGGCTTGATCCCCTCGGCCCCGAGAGAGTCGAGAACCTGCTCCGCTGTCTCAACCTTCCCAATTAGACACAGGGCGTGCATTAGGATGGCATATGTGTACTGATCAAAACCCACCATAGCTTCCCGCATCCTGTGGTAAGTCATGTTCAACCTTTCCGGATCGCACAAGACAGCATAGCTACTGAGAAGCTCGTTCCAGAGGACAGTAGTGTCCCTTCGAGGCTCTGCCTGCACCAACGATTCTAATAAATGCCCGGCACTCTCGAGATCGCCAACGGTGACATAAGATGCCATTAATGCAAGGTACATCGGCTCAGTTGGCTCAACCCCCGAGTCCACGGCTAGGTTAAAGTATCTCTTGGTATTCTCAACGTCTCCCCGGTCAGCGGCCAACGTCATCAACACCCCATAGGTATATGTGTCTGGAGCGAGTTCGGCCGCGATCATCTCTTGCACCCGCCGGAGGACCCCATCAACATCTTGGGCTTTTGCATAAGCATTGATAAGAATATTATACGAGTAGTTGTCCGGAACGAGCCCAAACTTCGGGATTGCATCGAAGCACTTGACAACCTCCCCAAGTTCCCCCCGCCGGGCATATGCAAACATTAAAGAATTGAATGGCAGCAGTTCTTCGGGGTCAAATCTTTCCAGAAACTGATCCAACAATTCCTTCACTACCCTTGCCTCTCCGTGGCGTGCCATTTCAGATATGAGTATATAATAGGCTTGTTTATCCGGTTGGGACCCCGTAGTGAACCAATCGTCAAAAACCATTTGCATGCCCCGGAAATCAAGCAAATTTCTGAAAGCTCTCAGCGCGCCGTTGAAGAGGTGCGAGTTTGGCTTAATGACCGGGATCTCACGGAATTCAAGATATATTTTGACGGCATCCGCGTCCCGTTTCTCACGATAGAGCTGAATTAGGGCGAGAGAGTAAGCGTCTTGGTTATTGGCAAATAGTCCTCGCGACCGCCCCAATTCCCAGACCTTCCAAAACTTCTCCTCCGACTCCCTGGAGTAAAAGAAAGCCCGAAGAAGTCCGACCATCAATTCCTGAGCAAGGCGCTCACTATCAGAGCCCTTAGCGCTTTCGGCAAACTTCATTATCGGGTCCTCTATGTCATGCATAGGCTGCAAGACCGCAACCAGGCTGAGTCTCGATTCATCACTCGACACATCACTGTCGAGCTTCAGAGTTTCTACAGCAATATCCCATAGATTCTCCCTGATGCAATAGGTCATAACCTCTACGAACCCGATAGGAGGCTTAGGAGAGCGCTCCACCTGGTCGCGTAGAAGCGCTATTGCATCGCGGTGATATCCCATTTCCAGCAGGGCTTTCAGAGCACTGTTGTAGTCCGCCTTAGTTCTCTCCTCGTACGACAAGTCCAGAAGAATAGCAACAATCCGCTCCTTGTCGATACCCCGTGTCGATTTATTCAAATAGTCCACAAGCCAGATCCGGCGGTCAATCCGCTGTAGTTGAGTACCGACCTTCCTTTCGATAGAATAATGATACCATGCCGAGTCGTAGAAATTCTTCTTCGGGTCGAACCTCAGCTCAGAGAAACTTGGAAAATGCGGGTCTACAGGTAGTGACTCTTTCAGCATATTGCTCAATCGCAAAAGGCAACTATCCTGGTTTCCATTCTTATTACTATTGGCGCCATTTCCGTCGGAGGACTTCGAACTATAAAGCCTCTTGCAACCACGTGGGGACACCGTGCGTAACGCCAAAATCTTGCGCTCATCCCGTGCCGAAGGCAGCGCAAGGTGTCGTAAAAAAGCGAGAGTCTTCGAAGGGTATAAGAAGTCCAATTGAATATCTGACGGGAGTCCTGTGCCCTTGGTTCCCCCAATATCCTGGCTTTTCGTCCCTGCTCCGCCATTTGCCCAAAACTCTCCCGAATCCTCTCGCCCGAAACCCACCTCAACACCACCAAAACCAAAACCAAACATATTGGCAGGACTGACTCCTAATTCCCCTGCACCATGGACCCAGAATGCTGAGTGTAACATTCTTCTTTTTAGCCTTCCACGTAGAAGACACCGTCCGCTACCTTCAAGGCGCAGAGCGATTCGTTCAAGCATACCCCCCAAATACCTCAATTAGTAACCGTAACCGCGACCGCAAGGAGAATTCGAAGGAGGATCCTGGTCCGGGGGGGTTTTGTGTCAGTAAATGATGAATAGAAGATCTGCTGCCAAAATCTGAAATCTATGCCACTCGCCATCTGAAGGAGTTTATGAGTATCATAGTTTCACGCACAAACCCCTCAACAGGAGCAGAGCAAACAAACCTTCAGACATGCCCTCAAGGCATAAACAAAAGAGTTTGTGAGCACGAACAAAATCCCAATGGTATGATTCCTTTGGAACCAAAGGTTAAATTGCTAAAGATGATTTGAGTTTTCGTCACTAAAGAAAGAATGGGCAGAAGAAACTGAACAAATTGTCTGATAAATTCTGCGGGCTTGGCTTATTGCTGACTAATTGCGATCCGAAATGTGAGCCCGGGGTCCGCCGCATTGCCGAGGATCAAGATGGGTGCAGTATCATACTACGAGTAGATTACAAGTATCATAATACTATTATCATAACCACCTAGCTATCGTACTAGATTGCAACATCTCGGCTCAAGTGAGTAGTTTACGGCATAGAATCATATCGCTAAATTGTCAAGAGAATCTACAAGCTATTGTCATAGCTAACATGACAAAACCGGCACAGCACTTGCTTAAGCAGAACGACCCACCCACACCACGACCACAATGCATAGACTAGAAACCACAGTGATTGCTTGAGCAAAGCACTCGAGCATTCAAGCAGAAATAGAAATTTTGGGAAAAAAGCCCAAGCCACTACCAAACAAAAATTGTAGTCATGATTCTCCCTAATGAGATCAACGCCGCTCCACGAACGCCATGCCAATAAATCACTTTTTGAAACATCTGAGAAAAAAAACCCAACAGACCGACCCCTCTTCGCATGGCAAACCAAAAAAAAAAAAAAAAAAACGGAACCTTTTGTTGTTGGAGCAAACCGGGAGGGCCCGTCTATCGCAATGCTTTTCGTCTAAAACATCTGAGTGAAGGAAGAGAAAAATTGAGACCTCTATTCGTGAGCCTCGCTTTCGTCATCTACTTCTTCCTCAACAATACTTTCATTGTCATTATCACTTTCTCCAGAACTGTCGTTGTCTTCCTCTTCCTCATTCTCAAGCCCCTCGATAGGCTCCCATTCGTTATAGCAGCCTTGGATCCATTGTTTACTTCGCCTTAGGTTGTACGGGTCAAAAGGGAAGTAACTATCCAGCTCCTCTTGACTACTCAGCCCTTTGCGCTTATTTTGCTCAATGATGGTAAAGCAGTAGACCAATTGAAAGTAGGATGCGATCTTCGCGAACGTCTCGACAACGGCTGGTGAACAAACCTTCATTTTTGAAAATCAAATCCTTAGCACATAGAAACACCACAGCCAACGTCACATGTAGGAAGCATACCTTTAAGGGGTTAAACTTGGAAATGATGGCCTTGTTAAGATCCTGGAGGAATCCCATCCACCGCTCTCCAATAATACCGAACTCATCCTCCTCAACCACTCTGAGATCTTTCCATCTAAAACAGAAAATATACATGACAGCTTGACAGACACTGTAAAACCCACCCCATTTTGAGACATCAGGCCCCTCACATTCTGCAGACCGTTCATCCACAAAAGTCCCGAGCCATCGACACATGACATTTGTGGCCATTTGGACATATTGGCCAGGCATTAGTTTAGCCCTAGCAATGAATGAAGCGACATAGGCCGCCGCCGCTTGTCTGGTACCAGGCTGAAGTGCATTGTCCAATGCATTGGTAATAGCAGCAGCGCAGAAGGTATCTGAGAAGCGTGGAGCCTTCTGCGCGGCCCAGAATACCAGAAATTGTGTGTAGCGGGAGCGGTATGTGGGCAGAATGATGCTATTGAAAAGCCTCATGATAAGAGTAAAGTTCTCGATGGACTCTTGGGTAGGGCTTTCAACACTCTTGTTTGGAAAACTCTTTGAGTAATACGAGAACAATAGGTCAAGCATAACGTCGAGCTTATCCACAGTGTCCTTGATATTTGTCACCATGTCTATGCCATACTCCTCGCTTGAGTCATCGCCTTCCTCCATCTCCTCCTCCTCCTCCTCTTCAGCTCCAATCATAGTCCCACCCCCGTTTCTCTCCATTTCTGTCTCTGTAATCTCGGCCTCCAACTCCTCGCCTTGTTCGTCTTCCAAGTCGTCAAGGTCGGCTTGAATTTCCGTGTCGATTTTAATAACCCGGTCGGTGATGAAGGTCAATAACTTGTTTCGAAGTGAAGGGGCATACTCGATAACTCGTAATAGATTCGTGACGTAAGTAACGTGGGCCTTCTTGCTCTCGCTTTTGTGAGGAAACTCAGATATTAATGCCGGAAAAAGGGTAGAGAAAGCTGCAGTCGGGACTAGGTCAAGAATGAACTGCAGTGCATAATGAACACGCTCATATATGACGCTTCTCTTGACTGGTGTATGGTTGGGCAGCTGGCCTGCCGAACTACGCACTATCTGAGAAGTCAAATCCTGAACACACAAGAAATAAATCAAGGGGATATTTGACTTACACCAAACCAAATGTTGAACGAGCATGTTGACGATCAGATCCATATAATTCGAATGTGCGCTGACTAAATTACCCAATAGCTTCACATATGATACCACAAAGCCGCTCTCCCTCGCTACCCATTGGCAGTTGATAATATCCTCCACTAGTTGGGAACACGATCCATTCAGCCTCGAGACGGTATTTGTAAGAGCCAAAATAGTATTCTGCAACTCCAAAGAAGACGGTGCGTCTTCATTGCCGGGGTCGGCCGAGAATTTCCGCCGGAGAAGCTCAAAATTGGCATTGCTTCCCTATGAAACGAGTCAGTGTCGATAATCTCGACAGCGGCAGCAACAGGAATAAGAAACTTACAGCAGCCCGTTCATCCAGAGCATTGTTCACAAATTTTCGGAACAGGGAGTTGGTTGCATTTATTTCCGTAGCCTTTGCCTTCATCCCCGCATTCTTCTTAATCCTCTTGCTGGAAGGGCCCTTATTCTCAGAATCAGACTCCGAAATTGGCTGCTCACGTTTCACACCAATGACGGATCTCGCTTCGCTCCCACCCATGGCCGGTAATTTGCTGCCAAAGCGATAGAATAAGGTGCCACGCAGGGGAGCGGGCATGTGTGTGTGGAGGAGAGATGTGAAAGGAGAAAAAAGAGAAAGAACGGGGGATTATGTATACCAGTAGAAAATTTAGGCAATGCTCTTGCATCTGCCCCTTGGGCGAATTTCGCACAAAGAAATATGCCCTAACCCTGCTGTTACCCTGAAGTCTTGGCGCAAGAGCTGGGTATCCAGTCCAGCGCACGACTGTTACATAATATCATACTCAAGTATAGTATAGCAATAATACGCACTTGTAAATATTCTCGTACTGGTGCTCAAGCGTTGTAGTACTACCAGTATCATATCGTATTCTCTTGCTCTACGATAGACAAAGTGTCTTACAACAGGCTTTGTAACAATCCCATCTCGAAGACTCTTCTAGTTATCATATTTAGAAATTTACAGTCGCGGCAGTAGCTATGATAGATTTTTGTACGAGTATGATACATACCTTCCAATTGCAAGTAATGATCCTTTTAATCCAATCTTGGCACGCACAGGGCAACCTCTAACAACGAATCAGGCTCCAAGCCTCATCCTTGCAGATATAATTGCAATGGATACGGTATGATACAGGTACAGTACTGTGCTCGAGTATAGTACGCTTGAACCCTTACCCATTACCCTTCCTTTCCCCGCCTCCTCTTAACGAAATATCGCTACATCTCGCCCTCCATTCCCTTCCGCAATTTCTCCCCCGCCACAATGGCTACTCCAGCTAGATTACGATTTGCTCCTCTTGATACATCGAAGGCTCTTTCGGCAGAAGCTCCAAAGCTCCAGGGTATCGTTTTTGATGTCGATGGAACACTATGGTACTTCCTTTCCTTTCTCCAGCTTGTGTTGGAGCTTCTGCCTAACATCTGCCCTAAGTGAACCCCAGACATGGATGTTTGCGCGAATGCGAGCTGCTTTAGGAATAGCCAAAAGTGTTGATATCCTAGACCACGTTTGCTCTCTCGCAATTGAGAAACAATCAGCCGCTATGGAAAGCATTCGAAATGTCGAAAAGGAGGCAATGCTAAAAATGATTCCTCAGAAGGGGCTGATACCACTCATGGAGTATCTTGATAAGAGATGCATCAGGAAGGCTATCTGCACCCGTAACTTTGAGTGCACTTCCCCCATCTGCTCTTATTTGAGATACGAATATAGCACTAATTGGTATCAAACATATCATAGGACACCGGTCAATTACCTCATCTCAAATTTCATGCAGGGTCATGTGTTCTCCCCTATTGTCACCAGGGAATTCCGTCCCCCAAAACCTGATCCTGCTGGTATCTTGCATATCTCGAAGAGTTGGGGGCTTGGGGATGGAGGTGAGAGATTGATCATGGTTGGAGATAGCGCAGACGATATTACTGCTGGAAGAAGGGCCGGTTCAGCCACGGTTCTTCTTGCAAACGACGTCAACAGAAGCCTGGTGGATCACGAAAACACCGATTGCGTGGTCGAAAGGTATGCTACTTCCTGCAGCTTTGGGGCTTAGTTTAGCTGATTTAGGATTACTATGCAGTTTGGAAGACTTAATCCCAATCCTCGAAAACGGTTTCACTGTGGTAGATAGAACAGTTTCCAACCCCCAAAATGAACACTAAACTCTACCTTTTTCGTCAGAATGCGGGGAAGTTTGGTCTATTTACAGGGACTATAAGGGATTCTTGGACGCCAGAGATGAGCAATACTAAGTTTTTTTCTCCTTTGACATCACTCGTGACATCTCATTTGCAAGGTATCCTTTTATACGAACCTATAGCACACCTTATCTCTGTATGGCTCGAGTTGGCCTCATCCCAGCCCTATACGGTGCTTTAGTGCTGTGAAGGTCGTCCCTAAGGACGATGTGCCGAGTGATAACATATGACTTAGCTTACCGCTACGGTACCGGCATTCTGCAAGCATAGAATATAGTACACATGAACAATGCTGGTGAATGAACCCTTTTATGAGATTTTATGATGCATGTCACCTCTAGGGCCTTTGCATGACACCGCAAACCACCCTATGAAACTAGATATCAACTACCAACCAATACTAGGAACTAATATTCGACCACATCTATTCCCTCTGTACGATAACTAGTAGCCCCATAATACCTAATAATGCTGTCTTCATCCAGGGGTGTTCACTGAGCATAATGGTAACGTAGCCTACGAAAGGCACGTATCCAACCACACTTCCAATAACTTCCTTCTCACGATCAAGGTACCACCTGCCGCGTGCGTAGAGCTCGGTATCATCGGCGTGATTGTTGTCGCCCTTGGTAAGGAGATGGAGAGGTGTTTTGCTATATTTCACTCGGTCAGTAGCTCCATGTGATGGCAAGGCATAACACGTACGGCCCCTGGTGCTTTCGCACAACCCTGTGGACGATAGGAATGTCCTTCCCGATGACATTATACACAACTATAATTCCATCCATTAGTACGTACTTTTGCGTATCTCAACAGCTGTACGGATGTCACGAGCAGAGCATACCAATTTCGCCGACCCGCGTTCCAGGTGTAGGGGGGCTATCGAGTTCCAAATTCCGGTTCCATAAGAACAATAGATCCCCACGTTGAAATGCCGGTTCCATACTCCCTGACAGAACCACGACAATGGGACTGGGCGAATCAGTTGCGACCGACAGACCCTTCCATAACATGAACGCTGTTGAAAGTATCAAAGCAAAATTCAAGACTTGGGAAAGGAGTTGTCGTGGTTTTAGATGCCGTAGCTTAGAGAGGCCCAAGGCATCCATGTTTGCTGTGTGGTCTGTTGAAGGTTGGGGTGAAAATGTAGGGGGGGGTATGAGGTTATCGTTGTTGTCACGTTTTGGGGCCCGGTATGAAAGGGTGTCGTGTGAATTAAGTCTGTGGTGAAAGGAAAGGTGTCGTGAATTGTCTTGGCGTTACCCGGTTTATGATACATTGGGCAGGTGAAGGGAGGGGTTGGCACAGCCGTGTCTATCATACTGCATCTCTTCCCCGGACAACCCTACGGGCACATCGCTTTGCTCCCGCTCGATCTCCGATGTGAAATACCGGTACCGTACAGGGCGGGCTTAAGGACCATCTCTCCCTGAGAAGTGAATTCCTCTGTAGCCCCCGACATGCTCCGCGAGGGACCAAAGTTCTCTCTTTCGGTTCGGCGGGTGCTGACATAGAAATACCGGTAAAATACCGTACTGTGTGGGCGGGATGAGGGCTGCAGCAAGTATGTGCTTTACATTTTTCCTGCACGCTACAGTATCACAGACAGCGCAATCCGCATCTCCCGGTCAACTTATTTCAGCATCTCCTCATTATACCGCCTATCGCGGGGGCGAGTGGGACAACAATGCATTGCATACCTGGCCGCAGAGCGGAACCCTACCCAGTTGATGTTCAAAAGTTTCTGCAGGCCTGCACCTACTGACCTTTTCTAGCTCTTGATGGACAAGATTAATCATCCATGGGTCACGGGCTTTCGTTTTACCCGATGCTGTCCACCTCTTATCGTACTTGGGTAGTAGATAAATAGAGGGAACCCAGGGCGGCGTAATAACCATCGTTCTAACTTGTTACCACAAAATGTCCCTCCTCGATGTTCCGAACGAATTACTGCTCCTGATTGCGGAAGTTCTTGATCCGAAAGACCTTAGCTCCTTCCTCCGTGTAAATCGTCGCTTTGCAGCTCTTTTGATCTCCCCGCTATACTCTTTGACATTGCACGACAATTACGCTGTTTCTGCTTTCAAATGTGCCGCTCGGAACAAATGCGACCACGTCATCAAATTCATGATCTCGAAGGGTGCAAACCTGGAAGCCAAAGGTCTGGATGGCAGGACGGCATTGACTTGGGCCACAATGATTGGCAACGAGGCCGCCGCCAAAATATTGTTGGAGAATGGAGCAAGTACTCGAGAGGCATTGCACTCTGCGGCGAGATTCGGGTGGGCGGGAATGGCCAAGCTTTTGGTGGACGGAGGGGCGGACGTCGATGGGAGAATTGCGAATTTGGCTACCCCGCTGCATATGGCGGCAATGTATGGTTGGGTGGATGTGATCAGGGTTTTGCTGGATCATGGGGCGGACGTTTTGGCGCAGAAGGAAATGCCAGATTCCACGGACCAGGGAACTGCAGTGCATCTTGCTGCTTGGTATGGACATAGGGATGTTGTAAAGGTGTTGTTGGAGGCAGGTTCCCCAGATACCTCTGAGGTTATTGGAAATCACCGGCGACCTGTTGTGTAATAGGCACTGCGCGCATGCATCACGGAACTTTGTGGGTGATGGAGACAATGGGTTTTCTGACTTTATGGGTTTTCTTATAGTGCACTATCCTGTAATATTCTTTTTCCTATACAATGCCATACCCTTCCTATACTGTGGGGACAACTCCACCATAATAAAAATACATTGTGATCGGAACAACTTGTTCAATCCGTTGATCCCATGATATAAGAAGCAAGACATTCTCTCAATTGTGTTTTCATGACTTCATGAATAATCCCAAGCATTTACAGTGCCAAGCTCTCAAGCTCCCAAGATAAACTAAACCCCTAACCCTGCACCTCAACCCACCAAACATTTTTTTCCCCACCTCCGACATAGTCTTAGAGCTCCATCCTCCACTAATCCACTCTATAGTATCATACAACCACCCTCAGGTGAGCTACACAAACACAAAATGCCGCCCCGAATACCACCACTCCTCCACAAAGGCCTACACGCCCGGCTCCCGCGCCCCACCTTCCCACCACAATCCAACCATCAGCCAATCTCCAACCGCACGGTGTCCCTCCCGCCCATGACAAAGCCCACGACTCCAACACCAACCCTCCTCCCAAACCCCACAACCTCTACCACTACCACCACCCGCGCGAGCCTAATCCCCTTTACCCCCGACCCGCTGGACGACCCCCTCCTATTCGGCGATTACCCAACCTTCTCGGAAACCAGCGCAAGCACGGACCTCCACCATCTGCACGTCTATTCCCCCCCCCACAACTGCCACATCGCATACACAAGGCCGAACGGCGACTGCATCATCAGCAAGTCCACAGGCAACGTGGGCATTAAGGGCGCGGCCAGGGGGAGCTTCGATGCGGCCTTCCAGCTCGCATCGCATGTTTTGGGAGAGATAGCGGAGATGGGTGCCGTTCCCAGGAATTTTGAGCTGCTGTTGAGGGACTATGGGCCCGGGAGGGATGCCTTTTTGAAGGCTCTCATGGGGAGGGAGGGGCAGTTTCTCAGGGGGAGTATCAGGATGGTTATTGATAGTACTAGGATTAAGTTTGGGGGGACGAGGAGTAGGGCTCTTAGGAGGTTGTAGGTATCATGGTTTTTTTTTTTTCGGAGAAGGGGGAAGAGAGGAAATTATGTATTATATTTGGGGAGGCGGAGAGAGGGATTTGATGATTTGATAGATTGTTCACTATGTAAATACTGGTACGGAAAACCTACAGTGCACCAAATAGATTGGTGGCCCAATACCCCCACTGACCACCACAACCCACGTCTTGCCGGTGGATCAGATCGCGCTCTCAAATGGTGATGATTCATGAACTGATTCCAAGACCAAGACGTGGGCCATTTGGAAAATATAACCCTATCACCGAGTCCCAATCTCTAATGCCACTATCAAGCAACGAAGAAAAAAAACCCTCCCATGAAACCACTTCACCATACCCGTATGAGTACGGTAAACTACCAAACGGATACTTCACAAAACATGGGTATAAGAGACTGGGCGATGTAAAACCATCCTCTACCGTCGCCAAACTCCACTCAACAAGCCTCACAGCTAGAGTTCGCACAGACAAGGTTTGTATCATTTTATACCAACACTACTATAAAGAATATTCCATTTTTTTCATAATAAATGCGCCGACACACGCTTATTTTACACTATCCGCCCCCCATGCGCTCCAAGACTCATTCACAACAGTCTAACCATCAAGTAGCCCCGAGCTCTCAATCATAGCATGCAACTCGGGCTCCAGGAATTTGGCGATGGTGACATCCTCGCTCAACCCCTTTCTCCTACGGGTCTTGAGGATGAGGTCTCGTGCCATGGCCTGCGCGGAGGCGGGTTCCAACGGTCGGAGTTTCACTTCTTTGTCGAGGGGGTCGCCGGGCACGATGTTCCACCTATCGAAGACGAGGGAGCAGAAGGCCATTCCTTGCGTGTGAATCTGTAAACTCGTTAACAGTTTCGCATGAAGGTAGAATGGGTAGGGGGTCTTACCCTAACATCAGTTTCGAACCCGAAGGAATCGATGACTGGGATTAAGCCCTTTACGAGGTACAATGCTACAGAAAAACAATGGTATCAGTTATCCGAAATCTTAACAGTATTTAAGGGAATCAACTTACGCGTTCCAGCAATGGGGCCATCGGATAGCACATGCCCTCTTCGCTTTGCGAGAACGGTATAAAGCGCGGAAACTGAATCTGCGGGCCCAGTCATAGAGCAAGAGTACATGGGCTCCATAAGCCGAGGAGACGCCATCAAAAACGACGAGTAGCAAGCCCTCCGCGCAGTCGGAATAATCTGACCACCTCCGCGATAGATGGCTTCCGAGGCAAGCGTAGCATCCATGATCTTGAACTTCGTATTTCGGATAGCTAAAGATGCCATCAGCACATCATTAACAAGCTATCGAGTGACTCCCCTCAAAACTCACGTTCTTCACATAGAGGGCCTTCCCGAGTACCCCAAGAGAAACCTTGCCGGATGCTATCCCGGGTGTGGTTCAGTAGCTTCTTGTCCACCTCACTTGGTAAAGTGTCGTTTTGTAGGATATTCGGCCCCCTCTCATCAGGCCCGAAGGCCCACACACTGCGACTTGCCAATAAATCCCATCCGTAATTTTCCTCGAAGAATTTTCCAACTTTCCGGATTGGCCACTTGATACTGACCTTTCCGCTTTCTATATCCTCCGAGATCCCCGAATCCAGCGGTTCTGCGACCATCGTAATCTTGTTTTTCTTATTAGGTGTCTGCGCATAACACTTAATGGCCGATGTCTCCACAACAGTCTCGCAAAAACGCGTAACCGGGTCAGAGACCTTAAGTTCCATTTCGGAGAAAATCCGTCGGAGATCGTGAAGAACGCAGTCTATATATAGCTCTCCGGTACCCAAGATCACGTGCTCACCGGATTCTTCGACCTTGGTCGAGATAAGAGGATAACTCTTGTTAATCTTCCGAAGGCCATCAAGCATCTTTGGCAGTTCTGATGGATTTACTGGCTCGACAGCAACCTTGAACACCGATTCGGTAAAGTGTTTTATGGGTCGGAAAACATAAGCATCATCGTCCATCTTGTGCGCAACTATGGTGGCCGACTTCACGATCGAATTCTCGATCCCCCCTAAGAGCACCCAACATCCAGCTGGTACCCCGCTAGTGGGTACCTTGTATCTGGTTTCGGCTATCCAACAATCCGATATAGTGGCTGCAACCATGTCTTCCTCATCATCAAGGGTATATCCTTCGCCCAGAACACGCACTTGCATACCAGGTTTCACAGTTCCGCTCATAACCCTACCGAAAGACAGGAAATCCGAGGCATTGCTGGTATGGTATAACTTTGTTATTTGGATGGCCAATGAGCCTTCGGGATCACACGCCTGCATGGACTCGGCGAGTTTTGTGTCTAGCGGCCCTGTGTAAGTATTCTCAACCTTGGCCTTTGCACCATCCAAAGCGGAAGGAACATGCTCCACAATCATGTCAACAAAGCCAGTAGCTGTGCCAAAAAACTGCCCACAGACCAGCTTTAGAAGGACCTTAGCATCCATCTTATACTGCGCGGGTTTAAGGGATATTCCAAGACCGGCAAGCGTAGCTTTCAGACTGCCCGTACTTTCTCCAATCGTCTGAAGAAAAGGTTAGTAGTTTGGATTGCCTCATAGGAGGCGGGGGCTTACATGGGAATAAAGCTTGTAAAGGGGCTCAAGGACGAAATGAACAAAAGACCTTCTTGATTTCGCTTCCATAGATTTTCGAGTAAACTTCCTAGTGCCAGGGTTATAGAAGATATTGCCCCACAGTCTTTTTGCAAACTCCGCAATGTCAATTCCAGAGTAAGTATTGGCATACATCTTGGCAAAACTAGCCAACGAAAAGCACCATCCCATGGTTGCACAAGCAAAACAGATATTTCCCCTCTCAGGCGAAAGCCTCATGCCTTCACCCCTTCCAGGCGCCGCATTTTCAATGACCGTATTTATCTCCTCGATCGTGTGCTTCAACTTAAAATATGCATCAGTGGGCGGGAGTTTAAGCTCCAGTATCAGACGGTCGACCTTGTTCAAAACCAAAGTCATCGGAATACTCTCATTGACAGCATATTTGATTATCTGTTCAGTGTTGACCATTACACCTTCAACAACATCCACAACAAGCACGATGCCGTCGGCGACCCGCATAGAACAAGCCACCTCATCCACAAAGTTAACGTGGCCGGGGGTGTCAATAATGTTGACCAGGTGGGACTTGCCCTTCGAGGACTGTAGCACGAGGGACATAGGGGAGGATTTAATAGAAACACCTCGTTCACGTTCGACGACATGGGTATCTGTGTATCGAAGCTAACCCCAATATTAGATTTCGTTCAAATGGTGATCCAACGCAATCCGTACTTGTTCCCCTTTCTTTCCCTCCGTATTCCCTTCTAGGTCATGAGTCTCCACAACCAGCATGTCCATAAACGCAGTCTTTCCATGATGCAGATGCCCAACCAAGGCAACATTTCTAGTTTGATCCGGGAAACCCATTAAATCCATCATAAACCTACATATCGTTAGTTCCATAACAACCTCTAATCTCGAGTACCAGAAAACTCTTACTCTCTTGAGAAATGAGTCTTTGGAAGATCAGCCTCCTCAACAGTAAACTTCTTAACCTTAATAGGAGCTATTCAACATATTAGTTTGAATCGCTGTCCACAGAAGAATAGGAATCCATACCTATGATAGGCTCCGACAATGGCTGCGCGTCCTCCTCCTGTACTAGGGTCTCTACACCCGCCCCGTAGGTCTGTTCTGCTGTCGGGTAGTATTGTTTATCTATAAATCAAACCATGTCAATATCCCCACGCATCCCCAAAGCATCTGGAGAAGAATTGGGACCAACCTTCATGAAGCACAACCGCGTTGGAAGGACCCTCATCTATTCCACCACCCCATCAGCATTCACTCCCCACCACCCCAGCTGATGAGATCGCATACCATCAAGCTCCATAAATTGCTGCGCATCTTCGCCAGCAGCTGATGCCTCCTCCTCTTCGTAGTCAACGTAGGCATCCGCGCCGCTATCGCCTCTTTGTTCTCCCTCATCTGAATCGACAGCCTCCCCGATGAAATTTCCGAACCTGTTAAAATGGATGGGACACCTCATTAGTCCACCGTCCCGGGCCAAAGATAACTCGAAGATGAAAGAGAATAATATACTCATCATAAAGGTCGTCCATCGCGTGCGTAGCTTCAAAAAAATAAGAATACAAAGAAAAGAGAAACCGTATTCTGGTGTGAAATGGGCGAACCTGGAACGAAAGCTTCGGGTTACCTTCCATTTACATCGTCTCACGTGGTTTAGCCTCAGGCCGGGTAACATGTGAGTACTCGTGCATCCGCCATGACCTACTCCGTAAAGTTAGGATCATAATGATGTTCAAGAAGATCCTTGGTCTGTGCGTTTCCGTGGTATCACAGCTTATCACAGCAAACCCTAATTTCTACGAACCCCAACACCATGGACAAGCATCATGGTCTCCGAACTCAGCTGTATCATAATAATATGGGCAAAGGTAACAACGAGCCCTTATGACCCCAATTCAAATATCACCCCACTCTATAGCACCACATAATATCACGACACCTTCCACTCTTCCTCCACCCCCCTTCCAAAATCCTCACATTCCCATACCCATACATACACAAAAAAAAAAAGAAATGTCCTCCAAAGCCACCCACATCCTATCCTCTACAACCCAACGCTGTCGCAAAGTCCTGGACGCAAACCTCAACGATTTCGTCTCGCAACTCTCGGAGCCGGAGAAGGAGCTCATCGACCGCATCTCGGAGGAGGATGCAGCGGCAATGTTCAGCGTCTGGCAATCAGAGCAAATCACTCGCTTCGCCACCCTCTGGAAGGAGGAGTTCATGAAGCGCCATGTGGCCGAGGCGGACCTGCGCGAAGCGAAGGAAGAGCTGAAGCATGCGGTCGACGACCTGAGGGTTTTGAGGACGCTGTTAGAGGAGAGGATCGGGAAGGGGAAGGAGATGGAGGCGGAGGTTCGCTATTTGAAGAGGGCACTAGAGGCGAGTAAGGTCTCGACCGTGGAGGTAAAGGAAGTGGACGTTCGAACGCAACCTCCCACTGCTGGACGTCCGAAGTCGACTCTGGGATTTCGTTTAGGGAGAAACAGTGGATAGGTTTGCATTCCTTTGTTATTTCCCTTGCTATTGGCAATTATTTGTGGGGTTGACTAAATTTTCCAGCAGCTCAGTGTCACGCAGTTTGTGATCATCAGATATCACTCGCAGGTTCAAATTTCCCCACTCCTTTTCTAAATCTGTCTGAGGCTCACATAACTCGAGCACTTGGGAAGGCTTCAAAATCACACCCGCCAGGCGCCGGTATCTTACTGCGATATCCTAACTAATACCTTCTCAATACTAAGAGATTGTACTACCTGTTAATAATTTCTGCATTTTGTGGGAGACATGGCGTACTACAATACAAGCGATCGACTAGGTTTCATTAAATCAGTTTTGTGTGAGGTCGGGGAGTGGCTTTTTGTCGTCCAAAATTGTTGAGATATTCCAACGAGCTATTTAAAGCTCCACTCATTGCAATTGCAGCTGTGCCCCACCTCAAGTGGTCCGGGAATGATTTGCATAAGGCTGCGTAAAATCGTCAGTCACCGGTTGCCGGAAAACAATTGATCTACGATAACCTCCAGACTTTAAGCTGGAATGTGCACAGACGTTATTTTTTCCAGTCCCAAAAGGTGATAGAGTTACAATGTGAGGAACAGGATCCGGGCCAACCATAGCGCCAGAACTAACATTGAGCCTATTTCCCCTTTGGGTGCTAACTTAAAGGTGAGACAGTTTATGACGATAGGTTGCTGCAGCAGTAAGACGAGTGATTGTGTTGATTATTTTTTTAGAAAAAGACTAGTACCACCTTGAAAACAGAACTCCGATCTAGAGAGAAAAAAAAATTTCTACAAGACAACTCCATGGACCAACTCATTCATATACTTCATGACGGCATTAACAGGGTCGGACTCATCTTGAAATATCCCCTGCACTCTCCCGACCAATTCAGTGAAACCTGCAAGGGCAGAACCACCTGTTTCGTCCAACTTCATCAACATTTCTCTCAACCATTCATTTCCTAATTTCAATACCGCTACTAAAATATCACCATCAACATGGCCCATCCGTGGATCCCGTACTCCATTTTCAGTGTCTTGGGGGCTGTGTCTCCCAATACCTGCTTTAGTCCGATATAAGTCTTGAATGTACCGTAACAAGTGTAATGAATCCTCTTCTAACAATGTGAGGTGGAACATGGAACCGTCAATCCCAGAGGCGATAAGATCCTTGCCTGAGGCCTTTGTCCCCGGAGGGGTCCCTTTCATGTACCAAGGCGGCCGGAGGTTTCCTTGCCGTATGCGGGAGATGGAACTGGTTAGCTCAGCCTCTATAATAGTGACTAAGCTTTCGACATTGCGGCGATCTATGGATGTGTTAGAAGTTATATTCCCACTCTCAAGAGAAGTTGGGCTAATACCTGGAGGTTGCCATAATCCCACAACTCCTAACTCTTTATCTGTTGCAAGAAAAAACCCTTGGAGTAACTGAAAGTGGTGGAAGCCATTCCGAGCAACCTCATCGCTGGCCATTGTAAGAAACTGTTATGAATATCGTACCATCAGATATTCGGCAGAGATGCCATACCTGAAAAGTTCGTTGAATTTATCATCCTCAAATTTGAGAACGAGCATTGAATCTTCGCCACATGATAAGTGTATCCAAGGTTCTGCAACAGTTATCTGAACTGCTGGGGATCTAAGCTTTTTCTCTGCGACAACATCAAATCTAGAAACAAGTTAGGCTAGGACCGATAGATGCTATGAAAGGTGTATTACTTCTTTGTCTGCGCGTTTAAAGTCCGCATATTGATGCTGTGACCTGAGCAGTATACTAGTGAACTAGTGACATTAGTAAACATTGTTCAACGCTTGATTTGATCGCTTTTCTTTACCTGCTGCTGTACGGTGCAAGCGAATACACGGGTGCGTCACACTGGATCTGGTACCGTCGACGGACTTCAACACCGCCGGACGGGCCTAGAATAACTGACAGTACTAGAACACGGCCTTTAAGGAGACTAGAAGCTGTAACATTGATATAGCTTGTCCCAACAACGATATACCGGTAAATTTTGCCCTCGGTCTCCATACTCCATTCTAACAGACGATTAGCTCTGCTTGGTTTGAACAAATTGAGATGACGAAACCTGTTAGACAATAAATCTGTTCGTTTGCCTTCCCAAATATAATATCTTTTTTTGAGCTATCGCGAATTTCGTGATCAGCTTTTGGTTGGCCCCTATTTTTCGTCAGTAAAAATTGAATACCATGACAAATTCCGTAGGTGTCCCAGATTCAGTAGCACAACACTTAGGCCTTCTAGGGGTTTGGTAGTAGGCTTTTGGCGTGATAAGACAAGGTGGAGGCAGATCAATAAAATCATATAAACCGATTTTGTGAGCACTAGTAGGGGGGGCATTCATATACTCACGTTCTTGGGTCTATAAATCGCAACGAGCAGAAGGATTTGCGTTTTCCTGGTATGTGCTTTTCGCTCTCGACGCGTGGATCGTCGGAAGCAGTCCTAGAACAGGCAACGATCAAGACGTTCAAAGGCTTATAGAACAGGAGCCTTCTTGGTGTCTCGTAGAGCCTTAGCCTCCGGACACAAACCTTCTCGCTTTCCCCTACATCGGCGAAAAAAATTTGATCCTTCGTAACGCCGACAACGATGTTTTCGGGGTCTGGCGAGGTATCGATTTGGACGAAAGCCACAAGAGAAGGCTAGGCAGAAGTTAATTTTCGTTATCTATCGTATTCACGGGGATGATTAAGAGAACTACCTCAACTTCAGACTCTTCAAACACAACTTGAGATGCCCTAAAGTTACCGCTTGGCAAATCAAACCGAAATAGTTCCGGCCCAGCCAAAATGAATGCGGAATCGCTACGACCAACATCTGGGTATATTTGGACTGGTGTTGGGCCAAATTTGATTCCGTCGATCCTCTCTAGACTGAGGCCTTCGCAAGTCAGTTCTTGTATGCTCACTGACGTATTGACTTACGACCAAGTCCAGTGTCGGCGATTATCGGCCATAGGTCATCAAAGTGCAAATTTACCTCGTTGCCATTGTATGTCCATCACCACAACAGTGCCTCCTCGTAAGCCGCACAGCAGTCGCGCCGTTCCATTCGCCCGGATAATGACAGCACATTCGCAAATGAACAAGTCCTGCTCCCCTTGACAACTATCGCTCATCACTATGCTTGTTAGGTTATGGTCCAAAACGGAGAGTTTGAAGCTTACTTGACTTTTCTAGGAGAGGCACAAGCCCATTTGAGAAATCGAAAAGAAATAATTGTATCGTAGCCTGTCGGGTTCCTACCGCAGCCAATATTCGGCCATTGCTACCCCGGGTCATTATTAAACTCGCGAAGTAGATCATGAATGTCGCACATAGGGGACTTACATTTCCAATACCGAAATAAAAGTCGGTTCCTCGGCTAAACTTGTGGGAATTCCAATAGGGTTAAGAAAATCTTCGCTGAGAAATGTTAGTACTGTATGGATTGCTGGACCTATGGTGATTACTCACATATTTTCGTCGACCACAATGGTAGCTAATGTCAACTTAACTAGAAACCCATTACGGGTAGCGACTACAATATAATTCCCCTTCAAAGCTGCGGCTACTATAACATCTCCGCCACCGCATCGGCATCTCAGAATTGACAACTGCGGCTCATCTGCCATTTCAACGTCCCTGCTAACCTCTCGGTGGTTCGCAAGACTCGCATGCTTTAACTGTGCGATATTAATTGTGCTTGGAGTAACCTGCACCGAATGCTTCCCCACAGCGCCAGCAGCTAGAGTAGTTTCGTTCATATCCAACAATTCAAGATCACTTGCGTCCTCCCATTCTCCATCTGGTTTCAAGAAACATAAATTTGACTGATCTGGTAGCGACGAGAACAGGAAGTAACCGACATCCGAACAATCTGGCAGTACCCACAACCTTCGAACACCTCTCATCTGATGATCCGCTGATCCCTGAATCCTCGCCTGTATTCCATAACGAAGTTCGGTAATTGCTCCATGATCCCCACGACCCGTGCAAGCAAGAATCCGATCTCTTTCCACCTTTCCACTGGCATGACCTTGGGCAGGCAGGTTAACAAGCTCAAAATCGAAAACCGGTGACCAATTGGCCACAGACTCCTCTAATTTTGGTTCAGTCTCAGCCGGATGTGGCCCTATCTTTAACTGATCCAAGAGCTTCAGTTCAAGTCACTAGAACATATCGGATAGGGATGGAACAGAAATAGATCATCATTTCGGCAAACTTACAAGGTACACTCCACCACTGCTCATTTCCCCACCAGCAACAAGCATGTCATTTTTGTTAAGACCGAAATCTAAGGATGCAAACGCTGTGCCAATCGAGCAATCAAGACGGCAGGCTTTATTGGCCAATTGAATCAAATTTGGACCCTGGGTATCCACCTCTAAAAAGTAGATGTCACCATCTTCCATGGCAAGATACATATCATCGTGGTCGTAGGCATACTGCGGCGTCCTCAAGGGACGTGCCCAGGATGTGACAAGACTCCCTAGAACAAGTGTCAGAAACTCCCAAATCTATTGCCAGAACAGGGTGCTTACGCCTCTGCCCGTTAGGAGGTGCTGGCGGGAAAGCGATTTTGGCAAAAGACGCATTTCCAGACATGATATCTGAAGCCTTCACAACATGGGTAGAGTACTCAGTAACTAGTAAGAATGCTGAACCCATTACTAATGGGATAACATGCAGAGGCATTGAGATGTCTGTCGAACATTCCCCTCGTCAGATATCTATAGCTTGATCGGATTTGATAGTGATAATACCCTCGGACAATCGAAATCCGTGGTGACCATGCTTTGAGGCGGTCCACAATGGCTTTGAACACCACCATTCGAATAACTGTAACCGGGATTTCTGGCTTGAACTAGGTTTGTGAGCTTCCTACTTGTTCGACCTCTTTATAGACACACAAATCAATCAACAGCACTTACTCTATCACGAATGCTAACAATATCACGTGATCCTGATCATCCGGGAAAGGGTGCAGGAACTCCATATGCATGATTAGTCCCTTGACCTCGAACGATTTCTCTTCCTTGATAGGGTTCAGAGGAAGGCCTTCCCGCAATTGCCGCTCCAGTACCTCGATAGGATGGAGAGCGTACATCCGGAACGAGTCCTGATACGCAGCAACAGCCAACGCCCTCGATCTATGTTCATTAGTTTCGATTGGCCAATCATCGGAGAAGGTAAGGGGGCAACGGTATACCGAGGATCCACAGCTATAGACTTCCCCAGGGTCTCCGTGCGGATCCCCTTCTGATCGATTCTCTTCATCGATACCACAAAATTGACCTCACCCTGCTCCTCAGAGCTTTTGGCATACACGAACGCAAGATGCCCCGAATCCAGAGTCAATGCAAGGATATGAGGAGGTAACAAGGGCTTGGAGTCATCTCCTTGCGCCGCTCCTGATACTATTCCACCATTTACCCCGCCTTCTCCAACTCCACGCATAACCACGTCGTCCTGCGATTGGGTCGCCAGTTCCTGTTTGAAAATGGTATCTTGTGGAGAATAGAAATTCTTCCTTGGGGAACCAAAAACCCTGGCGTGTCGAATATTCGCCTGAAAATCAGTCTTAGATCCCACTTGGCGGAGTTTACCGTCATCTGTGAGAAGATGCAATTCTATAAAAGTTTCCTAGTAATGCCCAAGAAATCAACATCCTCCATCGAACCCACCCGAAGCCCAACAGCAGCAGATAGAGCTGGTAGAAAGAGTAGGTGGGATAAAGCTGGTGCAAAAGGATAGGATTAGATTTACCCCAATAAAAGCAACATCGTTCAACTCTCTATTCCGTATCCTTGCGGGTATGATCTGTTTGATGACAGGTGAATGGACCAGTGTTCTGCTCATCAGACCATACCCGGGAGGCCTTTCTGGTGAATGCGATAGAACATCATTATTGAGGTTTTGCGCCATGAACTGCTCTTGTTGAGTATCCCCCGTCCTCAACTGGCCGTTCACCCATGCATGTGAGTTTAGATCCTCCATCAAGACCTCAGCAGACAGCTATCCCCCAGAAGCCCGGGTTGAGCCTCTTATATTAATTGAGCCCACGCAAGAGATGCTGTACCACAAAAATTGACTTTTCAGTCGATAATTGCCCTTGAACTCTGCCGAGCCGCTCAAACGCTAGAGTGACAACAATCTTGTGTTTGTTTTTTTCCTTTTGTTCCTTTTTTTCTTTTCTTTTCCTTCCTCGGAGGAGGGGGGGGAGGGTTAAGGTAGACAGCGGTGTGGGAGAATCGAAAGATCGTCTGCGTTCTGCGTTCTGCGTTCTGCGCTGTAGAGGGCGAATTATGTGTGGAGGATGGTACTCTGCTCGAGTGCGTCTAAAATGGATGCGAAGTGAAGGGATCCGGACTGGCCCCACAGAGTAGAATGCCAGTATTGTCTCTGAAGCTAGATCCCAGCTTCTTATTCCGTAGATGCTGTGTTTTGCGCCCCTCAACCGCGTTTCGTTGCTCCAGGTCCTTTGAAAGTTCGAATTGGTCGGAATGAAGCACACCGAGGGTCCGATGCAAACGAGGATTGATTCCCTAAAGACAAAGAAGATGGCATTCAAAGGGGTTGATAGAGATGCTTTAGCGGGTAGGCCGCTTTTCTGTCTCGCTCCAATTGGGGGGGGGTTGCGCACGGGAAGCTATGCCGTTGTTGGTGGAGGGTAAGAGAGCAAAGGCTATGATGACAGTTTGCTGCCCGAAACACTCGAGAGCTGGGTAAATTAGGTGGACTACAAGGTGCGGAATTGTTCGTAGTTTGAGGCACTTTAACGATACGGGTAGTCTAGCAGCGTTCGACAACACATTTGTTTATCGTTTATTATATCTACTTGTACGAGCACAGGTGCCATACCCACTTTCCTACAGGTGTCATACCATACCGGTCAAAGCTTGGAATGCCTGGTAAACACATCATAGGCAAGCAAAACTCCTACCGGTACCCATGAAAAGGTGTTTTTATGGTACAGTACAATGTCGGCATGGTCTCACGGACCCGTCCTGGTCGATTGTTGTCTTTCGCCTTCTCTGGTATATATATATGATAATTATTATATAATATATGTATAATATTATATATTTTTCTCCCGCTTGATCTAGAGAAAGAAGATAGTAACAGAGGGAGAGAGGGGGAGAGGGGGAGAGGGGGGAAAGGCCGGTAAATACAATACCGTGCATTTCTACGGCTCACTCACTATATGCTATCTTTTCTGGTTTCATGGTTCAGGAATTATGAGGGAGCAAAGAGGCAATGATAGAATAATCGACTGGAATGCGCAGTGTGTATGAAATGAAGCTGCACCACAAGAAGCAGATTGGTGGTAGAGATGGAGGGGAACTGTACCAGCTGCTAGTACTCGTACTCGTACTGTACAGTACCGGTATCATAACGGCAGCCCGCGGCCTAGGCAAGCGTGCACTTCTGCTTGTACAGTATTATAAGCATGGGATCCCACCATCCAACGCTTACCGAGTGTTCCTTCCTACAAGCATATATCCACCAGGCTAACTTATAAGTTACATTTTGATGAGTGAACAAAGATCTATGTGCAGCTAGATGATATGTTCTTTCAGAACATCCTCCAATATACCGTCCCCTCGACATATGGAGAGAGAAAAGTAAGCAAATAATAAATGACATCAGGGGATATTGGCTCATCAGATTGGAGTTGGACATATCATATGTCGAGAGATGTCACTCGCACCATCCGTACTCGTACAGTGCTATAGTCTTCTCGAGTACTTTGCTCATAGTGACCTCCCATCCTGGAGGCGTAAATTTTTCTTCACCGTCTGCCCTCTGCCAGTGGGCAAAAGTGGCGCCTCCACACACCCCACATATCGCTCGCAACCACAAAAGGAAAGTACTAGTATGATTCGCCATTTCTGCCATGGCTTCTCTAAAATTCACAATAATAACAAAATACAAGGTTGTACTGTACTGTGTGAGTATGGTAATCAAAGCCATTAGCGATAAAGCATGATATAATATAAAGCTACACTATACAGGTACTGTATCGGTAGCTTTCAGTAGCTGGGATGCTTTTACTCGAGTATCATCGGAGGTTATATCGTGTTGGTAGCCTATCGATATGGTAGGGGAGGGGCGGATTCACTTCCAAAGCACTCACGTGGCACTGTAGAGTATCATACCAGTAACTTATTCCACGGCATAGCCAGCCCTCTGCAGCGGGCTATGCGCAGGTTTGAACAATACAATAGGCTGAACCTCAGTCAGAGTTGTATCAGTGGCTAGTATTCGGGTGCACGGTTTACAATGCCGCGGAATACCAGTATGATACGTTGAACGAATACCACTCAAGTATTAGTCTATGTGGGTGTGGAGAAGTTGAGGATACTGTATGCTCAGGTAGAGCTGATGCTGCAACTGTTCAACAAGGAAAAAGGACAGGTACCGGCACTCGAGTACTTGGGGCATGTGGTACTTTGCTGGCACAAGCACTGGGCTGGGGCTGATGTAACGGCAACGCAGGTGACGCGACATTTCTTTTTCGCGAACTTTTTTTCTTGCTTCAACATTTCTCCTCTCACAGTTAGACTAAGTGACTCTTCGCCAAACTCGTCAACACTGCGCCTGGATCTTGGACCACTTCTTCCCGAGCCGCCGTGTGTGACTCTTGCACAGGCTAGCTCTTACCATCTAACAACGCAGAGTCGAAGATCTACGATCGAGTTTTTCACAGGGCCTCTCTAACCTCCTAATCCAGGCCTACCCGACATCGATGAAAGACGAGAAACTATCCTCAACCTCGCCGTCGCCATCACCGTCACCGGCGGTGAAGCCTAAGAGCGATGATGGGGTTGGTCCGCTGAGCCCCGAATCAGTCTCCGGATCTAGCTCACAAGATAGGTGGTCTACGGAAAAAGTGAAAGCTATCAAGGAAGCTTGTCGAGCTGGTAATCGGAAAACTGTTGTGGAGCTGGCAACATCCAAAGATGGCCTCATAAGCGATGGAATTCGTAAGGAAGCATGTACGTACTTTGATTTGTTGTTTCTTGAGCTCTACTGTGTGCTGATGCGTTCCGCAAAGGGCCCTTCCTGTTAGGATATGGGACTGTCCCCCACGGGAAAAGCGTGCCTCCCACAGATATACCTGAAGCATGCCCATCTTGGAAAACCCTTCCTCCTCACAGAGACGAGGATCAAGTGAAGCTAGATGTGGACCGATCCTTCATCTATTACCCCACTAGTAAGTGTTTGTCTTCACAAACAGCCCCGGTTTTAGCTAAACGAAGCTGAACAAATAAGTGTAGATTTGTCACCTCGAGAGCTCAGGACTAGGAAAACCGAGCTTTTAGATTTAATTGTTAAAGTATTGCGGCGACATCCGATGCTATGTTATTTCCAGGTTTGTGCTGGAAGCGTTCCTGCCTTTGCGGCCAATCCGTTATTGATTACTATTTTCAGGGGTTTCACGACATCTGTCAGGTCCTATTATTGGTCCTTGGTCCAACTGATGCTGTGGCCGCTGTTGAGCACATATCACTTTTGCGGATACGGGACTTTATGCTTCCTACAATGTCGCCAACTTCAGACCACCTCCAACTTCTCCATCCACTGCTATATTCTATAGATCCAAAACTTTTTCATCATATATCTCGGACCCAACCCTTTTTTGCCTTAGCCGCTACATTGACCTTATACGCTCATGAAATTCAAGAGTATAACAAAATAGCAAGATTATTTGACGTATTTTTGGCTATGGATCCAGTATTTCCACTTTATCTGTTTGCTGAAGTGTGTCACCTCGTCTCTTAAACCAACAAGCCCAGATGAATGGTTCTGACGCAGATCATAGATTGTTCTGCGAAGAAGGGATGAATTGTTTGAGATCCCCGATGATGAACCTGAAATACTTCATTCCATACTCTCGAAACTTCCAAAGCCACTGGATTTAGATGATCTCATTTCTCGCGCAGTCAGTTTGCTCGAGCAACAACCCCCAGAATCTTTGTCGACTTGGCATAAGGTATCTTCCCGAAGTGTTCTCAAAACTTCACGAAGCCTGGATCAGAGTCCTCCAAGCTTGAGCCACGCCGAGAAATTATTTAACCAGCAATGGCGTGAACTTGAGTGGGCTCGTAAGAGAAAGGTTATGTTTAAAGCCATTGCAAAGAAGGGTAGAATTACCCTTCTCGGATTGACCCTTCTCGTTGGGACCTCGGCGATTGGGCTCGGATTCTACCTACAAAAGAAGGGTACCCCTATCGATAGTATCTCGGGGTCTAGTGTTTCTCCATTACTCAGACGTCTCCTAGCAGGATTCGGTATTGGCACCGGGGGGTGCCACTTTTCCGTAGGGAATTCTTGCGAATCCTGAACATTTCCCCCCCACTTTCCATGTCTGAATAGTGCCCGCTACCCCGGTCTATCGCTGTGCCCGACACCTGCTCTGGATTTTGGTGCAGACGGACGCGGGGATAAGCGAGAATGCGCAGGGAAGCTTTCCGCGGGTATTTTTTGTTAAAAAAAATCGCAACAAAAGTCCGTACTGTCCTTAAAGGCGTTCCGTTTTGCCTTGCCACATAATATGCATGTATTATACAAACCCCTGCTAACAGGACAACGAAAAGATCACCTTTCCATTATTACGATTTAAAACGCGATCCGCCATCTCTGTTAATGTGTTACCAGATCTGTTCAGAAAACTTTGCACCGTAGAAAGTGGTACCGATAAAACCTGTAGTTCGAGCTCTTCAATCTTCCTTCACTGAGGTTGTCACCTACCCGACTGCGTTGGGCTATAATCAACACGGCCCGCCACCCTCGATCTACAACCATCACTAGTATTTGGCTGATTGCATGAGAATACGCATAAACCAGACTGATATGGAAGGACTGCTGGACAAGCGCATCTTAGATGTGAGACAACAGCCGCAGTGATTCTGGAGTCTGGACCCATTCTTCCAGTCCTCGAGTAGAGACTTCTGTCTCGCAATTACTCGGGCAGTTCGGGGGCTTGGGTGACTAGCCAAATTATTCATTGGCTTACCTTTGCCTTCATTAGCCACTGGTCAAACGGGTGCCAAGACGGGCCGTGATCCTCTTGTTGGTGGACAAACTTGTGTATGATAACTTACTGTAAATTTAGTTCGTTGTTGGCATGTATTGTGGTTCGGTTTATGGGAGAATAGGACCTGCTCCAATCCTTTGGAACCATGAAATGCATCTTTGAGATATGAAGACCCGGCACCACCGGTATATGGCTGCGCGTTGTGCGTGGACATGCTCAAGGAAATATATCCTGCTCCAGTGTAATTGAGGGCATACTGACACCTCTCACCTACTATGATACTCTCCTTTCAATAGGAGGCATCCCCCAGGGCTCTATTTCCAATCACCATGTCAAAGCTACTTAACTCCTAGGGCATTTCTTCCGTTCCCGCCTAGAGGCCCCACTAGCTCACGCCCCCAACTCAAAGGTCAAGATACTCGAGTACTATCTATTTGCATATCATGCACGATAGTATTGGTATATATTGTGATAGTTGTGAATATCTTAACCGCGATTACCTTCGATCCAACAATAATAATAATAATACGATATTTGACTGCCCTATAGCCTAGTTGATGACTAGTTGTCTAAATTGGATTCCTTTTCCTAACTTCTCGTTTTCTCCAATAACCATCTCACTGTTTCCACACTCCCATCGTTTTCCGTTTTTTTTTTCCTTTCTTCCTCCCTTCTGGGCAATTCGGCCGTGGTTCAGGTTATCATGCTAGTGTCACCATCTGCTTACGCTCAAGATGAGAAACCTTCGAAACCACGTACCGATGAAGTCTTAACCCAAATACAAACAATAGACTGTGACTGTGATTGACCAATATTCACTGATATACAAGTAGCATAGCCGAAGCACAAACTCTCCCTAATGTCCAAGGCTGCCTAAGTGGACAGGAATTAACACCCCGGGGGTATGATAGCAAGTTTCATCAGTTTCTACGGTGTCCAAGATAAACTATTGGTATACGTTCCGCATTTTACGCATTTTGGGCACCGGTGGAAGGAGGAGAAATGCTCACATTGTGGTTTCCGGGTCCGAGGTTAGGTAAAAAAAAACGCATCCACGAGCCATATCCAACAGGAGTAACTCAGTGACAACACGCAACTATTCTACGTATAAAAAGGCGTCTATCCCTGGCCGGACCGGTGCGGGTTTACACAATACCGATCTCGGCCCGCGAAGGAACCCCCCCTCCAGGCTGGATGGGGCGAATCGTGGCAAACCCCAGGGTGAACTTTCTTGGAGTCCGGTATGGAGTATGGTGATTTGGAGGATCAAATATGATATCATCATATTTGATATCAACCCATGAGTAGGAATGCGCCATAGTGGCCCCGCAGTATATCGACAGGCCTGGGTTCCTTGCACCAAGGGGCGCATCTAGAATCCCAGATTTTGGCTTTGCTTGCTGCCACCTTGGAGCAAGGGTGTCAGATGTTGCATGACTGTCGACACTGGGCAAGAATCTTTTTCCACCGATACAAGCACACATGACGGACCCCGTAGTTGGAAGTGTCAAAATGATATAGACCTACCCTAGCTACTCAAGTGAGGCTTTATGATTCTAGCCAACCTGTATATTAACTATTGACACATAGGGTTGATCGGGATCTGAGTTTTCACCAAGGTCAGCACTGCACCTATCCCACAGTCCACATCTCATATCTAACATCCTTCGCCCTACAGCTCCCTGTTGCCTCTCGTGGGCATGAACAAGCCTTCCCACTGGCGACATCTTGCAATACCACGATTGTTATATCGGAACCTATGAATTCGACATACCTTTCTAGATTACCCCCAACGTTAAAATTACTCCCCAAAGCTCGTTTCTGATAAATACTATCATACGATAGCTAAAACGCAAACCCCGAACTTAGCGCGAGGCCTCTACTGATCCTGTCCCGTACAGAGTTTCTCTTTTGTTATGAGTGGGCAACTGCTAGAGTAGCACGAGTGCTGGTATATTCTTGTGCCAAGTACTGGTATTGAGTTACATCGCAAAATAAACAACACAAAATCGATCAATTATAGATTTCCAATATCTATTAGCCATTTGCCGCAGTGCGGTGTATACAATTATAATATATAGTTATACTCGTACAAGCACCTTGTGCCTCAGAGTCAGTTTTACAGGGGGGGGGTCGTATTGGCCTAACAGTGGTGCAGATTTTATGATACCGGGAAATGTTTTATGATATTATTATGAACACCTGTGCCAACGTTTCCAACAAAAAGCGGCCACACTTTCCCTTATCTTATCTAATCAGTTTCCCCAGCCATCCTCTCTGCTACCGGTACTCGTATCATAGGACCCATACAGACAGTGCCAAACGGCATTGAGAGACTTATCATGCGTCCGTCTGTTATCCACGAGGGCAGTGTCGTA